AAAGCCGGCCGGGGCGTGATGCTAACCACTCACCCCCGTCTAGTGCCGAGGTCAAGGAAGAGAGGAGCTATACCTCCTCTCACCCCAAGCGCCTGTATGGCGTATAGTGGGACAAACTTTACTTTACTTTTAGTTTAGTTATTGGAGAGTACATGTACCTCTGACGATTATGGCTGACAACAATATGATGGCGTTGGAAATTTTCAGATTATGAGTGACATCTTTGAGGTAGTAGGAATGTGTAACCAATCTTCACGTTAAAACAACTGACATGATAATAAATGAACAAGGTTCTCAGCCTCAAGCGATTCTTAGATTATGTGTAGGAACCAGTGGCGGGTATTTGAATACGTTAATGATGCTTCGGGTTGCATAGAATACAGAGAATTTCTTGACTAACTAAGTGATTTTGAACTTCTCAATAGGACCCCTGTTTCTAGGAAGTTGTTAATTGAAGGTAAATGTGACGCTTGAGAAAATCAGCTCACCAAAATATTAATGTGGGAAATTTTAGTTCTTACGCAGTGTGTGGTTAAACATACTTTGTGATCGCTTTACTGGTTTCATTTAATTATGCCTATAATGAAGTTATGTTCTGTGAATCTGTGACTTGCCTCCGCGTTTCGTTATTCCTTTTTTTTTATGTTTACCAAACAGCTGTCGTCGTCACAACAGTCTCAGCTGCTGGTTCTGCCGCAAATGTTTTAAACTTTCTTTAAGTCCTTGCAACAAAATTTGTTTCGCTTGGACTGAGTACAAATTAGCGGGCGTTCCGAGTCAATGAATTCCAGCAGCCACAAGCTTTGCTTTTGTTATTTTAAAACTGTTACTGTTGCTTGTTTCGAGTGACGGCCAACTCAGGTTTCATTAAAACATTAGCAGTTAAGAGCAGCTTAAAGACCATAACAAATATTGTTGTGCCATAACTACAGTAACGAAAGGATTGATCGTAACTGACGTTAGACAGTTTATTATCTGGGTAGTAAGAGATAATTTTTTTAATGTTCTATTCCAAATCGACAATACTATACTTTCTCTGGTGCCTTCACGAATATTCCGGAATATTTCCTGTTGCTAGACGAATGTTTGTTCTTTCCAATCTTATTCATGCTTACAAATTTACATTTAATTAAGTCAAACAAACCGTAATATTAACCATTTTACACGACTTCAGTATATACTAAGTTTTTTACACTTCTAATTATGCTGTAAATGTGTGTAACAGGAGAAATCGCAAACATTGACGTAAAATAGGTCTACTTTTTATTATTCTGTGGGCAATCTATGGACGGTAAAGGCGGGTAAGAAAATGAGTTTCCCAAGAGAACACAATGCCTGTTAACAGCCGTTTTCTGCCCCAGAAGTTGAGGTGGAATTTTCTTGTCAGTGCTGGATATTTAGATGTTATAAGGAACTATAAGCTTGTATTATGTTTAAATTAGTTTGTCTGTGGGATGTTAGCCTCTTTTATGTCTCTAGACTGTAATTATGTACACCTTAATAATAAACACTCTTGCCGGAGCTAGTCTCAATTTTGGACTTTCCTTTCCTTTAACTTTTTAATACTAGTTCAGAATGGTGGATCAACAGATAGGTTTTACGAACTTTTTTACCTGATAAAGGGAACATGATCTAGGTTCCGAAACCTAGAGTTTTATCATTTTAGGCGATAACCAAAACTCAGGAAAACAGTTAAATAAATTATTTTCATGTAAATTTAACTTATATTTTTATGCAATTCTGTTAGCTTATAGAACGTAAGATGGAGTAAATGTTTATGGATCTCTTTTATTAATTTAAATATATTGTTGACAACAGATATATGCTTTAATCATACTCTTACTTGCCTTTTCCATAAAGTTACATGCTTTGTCATTGGGAGATACTTCATTATAAAAAATGTTTCAAATTCAAAGACACCGTAATGTAAGCAACTTTGTTTTGCGCATGTTCTTATATGGGCCCACGTAGTTTTCAGTTTGCGACTGTTCCTCAACCCGACGTTTCGGAGCCCACTTTCTAAATCTTCTCCGTTTTATCGTACTTCGCCATTTCACCGCCTCATTCGATTTCATGGAACATATGTTGAAAATAAATGACACCTGCCTACTCTTAAAACTGATTAAACTAATAGTCGGCTCAAATTTCTGATCCCGTATTTCTGAACACTTTTAATTACTATTTAGATAAATGTCTTTTTCGCTGTTTGGAGTCATTTTATGTAGTTGGATCATGTACATCAGCTTATGAGTAATATAATGAAATTAAATCTTAGTGTGGATTACTTCAAACCAACTGTGCCTTTCTTAGCCCGAGTTCTAACAAAAGGGAGCTGATCTGTGTACTTTCCCTTGCATTCCTGTGTTAATTCTTTCATCTTTGGTTTATTTAGTCTGTTTTGTTTGTTTTTTGTTAGGTTTTTATCCTTGCTGCTGCTAATGGTTCTACACTTTTAATTTTATTTCATTGATTTCTTCAAGTCTGGGAAGTTGTAGTATAAAAGTAGAACGTTAAAATGTACGTGAAAGTGTATCGGGCTTTCTTTTGTTCTTTACATTACCTTTTTCACCACAATGAAGACAGATTTGCACTCTACATATAAGTTCTAAGATTTCGTGCGGAATATGATTTATTATGATTACGAAGGGTTTTCCCTGCCACGAATAGGATAATTACAAACATATCTGAATTAGGAACGGTGTGGAATGAAATGTTCGTCCACTAACGTAAGATTCTATTTCAGAATTTTTCGAGATGATTCAGAAATCACAATAGACACTTCCGCATTGTACCAGTTCTCCAAACGAAAGATGTCAAACTGGAAACTGGAATACTCAGAAGTGTTCACCATTTAACGGAGACGCCCGGTATGTTCATTTAACCCCTTCCGTCTTTTATGGAAGTTTTTGAGTATAGAATTAGTTTTAATATTATTATTGGAATTTATTTTTTTAAAAGAAACAAGTGTCTTTTTATTCGAAATTATGTAATTCTGTTTCATGTTTCTAATCAAGCACGTATTGAGCTCATATAATAAGACAATTTAACTTTGTACCGATTACATTTACCAAGACATTGTATATTGGATGCACTACTTAAGACGTAGCTCAAAATCAGTCACGTACAAGAACGGCGAACAAGCCGAGAAACATGGTACAGAAATGTAGAAAATTTCTTAGAATGAAAAACGCCTATACACGAAGATAAGTGGACCAAATACGCACAATTCGGAGTACACTAAACAGTATGGCACGCTTGGAATCATCATGTGCAGTATTTGAACTTAACGTAAGGAGGAATCAAATGTGTGTGTTATATATTTTACGTTCTATCTAGAGAGGCTTTTAGAATACATTTATTAACCCTCATTCTGGATTCATGAAAGCACTTTGCTTCATTCAAACCCATCGCCGAGCTGCAGCGAACGTAAGAGCGAACAACAGAAGACATACAACATTTGGAATGGCTTAATTCTAGAGCTGCATCGTTCCACTTTATAAACAAAATAAACACTTTGTTGTTTATTTTTCGACTCTCTCTCTCTCTCACTCTCTCCCCTGCATTAAGTTTGCATGCTGCATTAAATCTGTTCTCTTGTTTGCATACTGGACATGAGGGACAGAATGGCAGATAGGTGAAGGAATGATAAATAATGGAACCGAAGCCCTGAATAAATACGTTTGATTTAACTCATAGAGGATGAACGTTTATTGATCGTCTCACATCCATATTCAGGTCGGGAGACAAATTTACGCACATTGCATGGAGGTAACAAAGAATACAACAACAAAAACAAAACAACATAGACACCGACATAACAAATAAAACTGGACCAATGATATGTAAATTATATTCAAAGAAACTAAACAAGGGCTTATGTTAATACATAAATTAATGTTAGAATACATGTGTGTAGAATAGATTGAATTGTTAATATACCGTGAGTTTTTAACAAGTGATTGTGGCAGTACATATCGCGTCATATATTTTATATACGTTTATGGAACACAAGCAATTACAGTCCATAATAATGAAGGTATATGACGCTGATTTACGAACTCTTATTTATTATATGAAGGGACATAATGAATAAAATGAATAAGTCTTCAGTAATAAATACTTTTTCACTTTTCTGTAAGGAGAATGTATGTTCATTTTCTACGTAGGTTGGATTTTTGCCCGTCTCGTTAATTGGGAGTACAATGAAATAAGAATTTGTTGCGTGTTTTAGACGATTTTTCAATCAGTGCAATAATTAATTTGTAATGTGCTTCATGAAAGTATTCAAATAAACGAAAAGTAAAATTAAGTTCATAGTTTGTTTAGACGACTCTGTAAGTGAGTTTTTATAATTGTGACTCTCGTGATTCGTATCGGAATTCTGTTCACGATGTTTTGTGTCCCAGCTCAGGCACAACAAAAACAGCGTACGTTTGACCTGGAGACCAAGGAGAGGCGAAACGGCAATCAGCTTAGCCGTGTCCGCCGTGTCCGTGTCCGCCATGGCCACTGCTAAAGCCCCAATCCTTGTGATCGGAATGACCTCCCTTCTTGCCATAGTCTTCGTGGTGTCCGTGGTGTTCTTCGTGGCCCCCGGCTCCCTTGTGACCTTTGTGGTCGTCAAAGTAGTGTCCCTTCGAATGATGACCTTTCTTGCCGTGGTGGTCGTCATGATATCCTGACTTATGATGGCCGCCTTTGTGGTGCCCTCCCTTCTTGCCGCCGTGTTCATGGTGGTAGCCGCCATGTTTGCTATGATGTCCTTCGTCGTGATGTTCATCGTAGAACTCCTTATTCTTCTTGTACTCGTCTAGTTTGTGAACCTCGTGCTGTCCCTTGGTTGAGTGTCCCTTGTTGAAACTGCCCTTCTCGCCGTACTTGTGCCCTTTCTCGCCCTTCTCACCCTTATGGTGTTCGCCGTAGTAACCACCACCGTCGTGGTGAGATTTCTTGTGTCCGCCGTGTTCATTGTAATGTCCACTGTGGCCTTCTTTGTCGTGGTGGCCCTTTTCGCCCTTCTCGTGTCCGTGGTGGCCCTTGTATCCTTTGTCACCCTTGTGCCCATGACTGGCGTGGTGGTCTGAGTGGTGCTTGTCACCTCCGCCCTTTGACCAGTGGTGGCCATGGTGGGACTCTGCAGCCACCAGGTCCGATCCAGCAGCTTCAGCGTCGTCAGCGTCGCGACGACGGATTTCTCTGGCGATTGTTACGTGGATCAGACACGCCACCCCTAGGATAAAGAGGTACAGCGGCAGTCTGCATCCCACTGCAGTAGCCATCTTATTGAACAACACAACACTGAATGATAGCATTAACTCGCCTACTTCTCTATTTATATGGTATAAACTTTCTGTTCGGCGTTATAAGGAGGTGGAAGAGGGAGCAGTTTCGCATCCCTCTTTTTTTTATTCAAAAGGCGAAACGTAGGAGGATTCTGCTCTGTTCGATTCCCTCCTCTCCCCGTCGCTACTTCGGTTCTAAAATGACTATCTCGGTTCCCCCGCTACCTCGACCGGTCCAAACGTTGCTATAGCTTTCACTTTTTTCCTCATAGCCACAGCTTACTCACCCACGTTAAAGTTTTAGATCTCTGGACACAAAACAGTAATGGAAAAAAAGTGACTAATTGCGAATTCAATTTCCCGCGGTCTCTTGTTTGCAAGCGGTACCGCTCAAGTGTGGCGTAGTCGACAGTTCAAGAGCGGGCTGCCTTGTTATGGCGTGTATAAGGCACGGTAATTGAGTTCTCACCCAGTTGAAACAGGTGAATGCAAATTTTGTGTAAAATAACGGTTTCGTGTCTACACCAGCTTACACAATCAGACCTGACGAACCGAGACTTTAATTATTTAACGTTTTAAGTAGGTTGCCTGCTTTGTGAACCAGAGAAATTAAAATGAGGCCACAGTACAGTAACACTTATTACATCTCTAAAATAGAAACTTCGCTTCATTTCTTTACTCAAGAATTCAGAATATCGCATTTAATTCAGACGCCGAATTTCCAATTCAAATAAATTCTTAGTAGACTCCAGACTTTGTGTTATTTCTCTGAAAGGCAGAATGTGGGTTGTTCTTCTTGTACTAATCACCCTACAAGCCCAAATGTAACATAAAATGAAAAATAGTTAAAACTGCAAATGTTCAGTTTTTAATTCATTCAGCGAGGAAATCGTCTAAATTCCAATAAAGTCTACAACATTCGTGTACTTAACGTATAGACTAGAGCAATGAAGTTATCAGCTTTATGTATTTCATATTTGTGCTTGTGATAAATTGTATTTACCTGAGATGGATACTAAGGTGTAACACCCATATAGGCCGTGTAATTATAATATAAAATAATAAGAATTTAAATGTGTGTATACTTAAACCGAATTTTTACTAATTAGGATTTTAGGTTTTCACGGCGATGAGTCTGCAGATGGCTGTCTTCTCGATGTAGTCTGATAGACGTTTACCGATGTTTTAGAGGATCTTGCTGCCTCCATCATCAGGGTGATGCAACTAGGTTCTCTGAAACGTCTGTAAACTTCTACCAAACTACACGGCGCAAAAACCCAAAAGACAGTTATCTTCGAATTTTTACTTATTAATTTGGTGTTTAATCGCTGCTTTTTATAACAAAACACTCCTTACTTCTCACTTTTCTCAATTATAATAGAGAGAGTAACATATTTCAGGGGTGTTTCGTACGTTGTAAAATACCGATGTCAGATTTGGAAGAATAACCCAGATGGGCGAAAATGTGTACATATAATTTCGATCTTACAAATAAATAAATAAATAATGTTTTGTTTGCAGAAATACAATTGGTACAGGACTTTATTGATTTAATATTCTAGGACACTGATTTAGAAAATATTTTAATGGCCAAATACATATTATAAATATATGTAGTTTGATTGTATCTAAGAATGCTGAACAACTATAATCGTATGAAATTATTCTGATGATAAATATAATTATTTATTCTCTCCTTAAACATAAAGAAGTTACATGACAGGAAAATATGAGAGTAAGTAGGTTACTTACTGCTGTTGATTCAAATGTCAGTGTATTGTTTTTGAAGTAGTACAGGTATATTCCCTCTTCGCCTTGCTTTAAAGAAGGCATTTCATTCAAATAGACAAATTATTGTTAAAAGGAAACATTGATTATTCCCTTACTTGATGTTATAGTGGGTAATGACAGGTACAAGAGTCGATAACTCTTATGCATTTTCTCGCTGAGAAGTACGCAGTACAAAGTAGCATTGCGCTGTTAATGTCTATGAAGACGTTTATAAACATTGAATTTTTAAACATTACTTTTAAACGCAGTAAACTCCATTTGAAACTTAGAAAACGTCTCTTTGCACTTTCATATGTACATGAGGATTTCCATTTTTACAAAAAGTTACTGATTCAGATTTATAGTGTTAGTAAAATATTTTTCAGAAGTAATTTTAACGAAATGTAAATACATCAAATAGCAATGTCTCTTTATCCATTCTTTGCAGGAACTTTCTAAAATAAAAGTATAATTAAGAGATAGCATCTCTGAAATACGAAATTAATTTGAGTTAAATTTTATGTTTCACGGTTTGGAATAAACATTGTTGATGGACATCTATTTTGGTTGCATCAGTCCATTAGACGTATGATACAGAAATTACATGAAACTGAAATACAACCATAAAGCTGTCTAAAGAATGGCGTTACCGGACAGAAGGTTGTAACATAATGTAAATTATAAGTCTGTTTTAGACAAAAAACGTTTTTTAAATATTTGTCAATAATATTAATATTTTAGCGCATTAATAAATGTTTGTATTTGCTGTATGTAAAAATAAATTCCAACAACGTTAAAATATACTTCAGTACATCTTTTCAAATTTGTTACAATGATGGTCTGAGATTCCTACAGCCGAATCCTATCAAAATATAGCAATGCTGCTATGTGGAGTATAATTTTTAATTTGTTTTGCATAGTTCATTTTATTAACAAAGACTTGTAAGAAGTCGTGTCAGCCGTCTATTCTGACCGTGGTTTTTCGTAGTTTTCCTCAGTCTAATGCAGATTTGAAATAATTAACTCCATTGAGCAGTCTTCTTTACAAATCGTTTTGATGGTAAAATAGTCCGCATTTTATATAACCTGAGAGCCCAATACGTTTTCCATAAAAGCTTACCATTGTACCATATTATGAGCCATTTTAATATGTTACTGCTATCTATGTGGAGCTCTGATGGCCTTTTAACTTTATGCTTGTCAATCGAAATCTTATACGCATTTCTTATGTCCCATGCACATTATTACCTTGAAGAAGGCCACTGTCACTTTCCCAGTTCTTTCAAGTTTACATAAACAAGACCATTCTGTCACATTTTACAGTACTAAATAACATACGTAATTCTTATGGCGTAGCCCAATAACAGCCACGGTGGTCTAGCGGTTAGAACGCTTGGAACTGAGTCGGGGGAGGTATACGTGTGGAGAATTCCAGGAGGAGAATGCAAAGTGTTGCCTGGCCATGGTGACAAAGCAGACTGTGGACTCATGTTGCCTGATGGTATGCAATTTATAATAAAATTATGACTTTGCTGTCAGGCAGTACGTGGATTTTTATGTCCTCTTTTTATTTTTTTGTATGTTCCTTGCATAGAAACTGTGAAAACTGAAGAAATGAAAGGATTTTGTGTATAATATAAAGGAAATAGATCCCCATAATTTGGAAGGGCACTTCATGCAGAATGTACAAGTATGCCAGCCATTATCATTATAAGTTGCTTTTTATGTGTCCTTTGCATGATGGGCTGATCATGTCTGTCTGTCATCCGCGTGGTTCAACTCAAAAACCATGGGACGGATTTGAATGAAATTTTGTATGGTCATTATTTGAGTAATTATTTGAGAAATAAGTGCAGCAGGTACTGTAAACGTTCTGATAATATCCCAGGTGGAATTTTTTTACCTTGCCATTTACGTCATGAAATACGAAGTAGAGAGAATGAAATTAAGATGTAAATTTTTTTAATTTCCAGGCAAACGTATGGCGATAGGTTATGCAGATGGCTCACTTAAAATATTTGACACAAAGACTGCGACAGTATTACACCACGTACCTCAAGGACAAGCTCACACTGGTACAATTACTGACATGGACTGCCATCCTGATAACAACTTGCTTATCTCTAGTAGTGTGGATGGACATGCTGTTGTGCTCAAAACTCAAACTGGAAAGGTTAGTAGGCCTGTATTATTCTGACAGGAACTCTGAAGTACGAGGCTCGTCCTTAAAGTAAGTTTCCCTGGGGCCGTTTACAGAAACAAAACACAATTTCATGTAAATATTTATTGCAACAGATACAGCAAGTGTCTAGCTATTTTTCAACATATTCGCCACCGGATTTGAGACATTTGTCATACCGTGGGACCAACTTTTGAATACCTGTGTCGTAGAAGTCTGCCGCCTGGGATTGGAACCACTGTGTGACAACCATCTCCGCCTCTCTTTCATTCTCAAAACGCTGACGCTGACGCTGACCGGACAGGAATTTCTTGAGGTGTAGGAAAAGATGGAAATCACTGGGAGCGAGGTCCGGGCTGTAGGGTGAATGATTAAACACCTCCCAGCTGAACTCCTGCAGGAGACTTGCTGTCCGTCGAGCCGTGTGCGGCCTAGCGTTATCACTGACCGCACTTCACAGTCGGCGGGAGCTGGAATAAGAACCTCCATCTTCAACAGCTGCAACGATGCTACTATGAGAACTCGGGAAGTACCGTTAGTGCATGCGCCATGTTACGTCATTGCTCTATCACGTACGCACAGTCGCTTTGGGCAATATAAGGTTTGCTAGCTGTGGGACGAGTGGGAAACTTACTTTGTGGACGCGCCTCGTAGTTCAATATATAATAAGGCTATTTATTTTACAATACAGAAAATATATATTTTCAAACTGATTATTGGAATATTTATTGCAGTATCTCTGATACAACATTGAATCGTGTAGAGAAATAGTGAATTATTTTCGTTAAATTAAGTTACTGTTTCCTCTAATGGAAAACTTGTGGTATAATAAACATAAACAGACAGTGAATACATATGAAAATGAAATAACCTTTCTACTGAAAAACTAACTATCGTGGAAGAAATATCACTATCAGAAATTCGAATACTCTAGATTAGTAAATTATTGAGTAGGCCTATAATGATTGGAATTTTTATCTGATTTAATATTCCACATATTTAAGTTTAATATAAATTTATAAATTGTGAATGTTTCTAATAAACTGATGTATATATCTTTCTGCGTTATGAACCGTATTTGAGAAAAGTGATAAATTTAGATCGGAGCTACACATACTGTACGATATGGCTGAGACTCGTGTAGGATAGTCTTGTAAGTCTGGTGTGGACTCACAGTAATTCTTCTAGATTACATTTGCATTGTTTGACTGGTTACAAAGAAGAAACATAATGTTGGACTGGCAAATCCGACCTGCACAAGTCATACGATCATTTTGTGTGATGAAAATGAAGCAGATAAACTTATAAACGTCTCAAACATGCTTTTGTTTTGTGTGCACTTGGTACAATCAGATGTAATTCATGTAAAACTACAATAAACACGTAACAAGAAAACGCTGGCTTTGCGTTCTGCTTTGAATCTGCCAGCAGTGAAGGAACCAACCAGTATCGAGGAAACAAAGAGGAGAGAGAATGCTTAGGTAGGTAACTCCATTGAGCTGAGTTTTTCTTGAAACCTGGTAGTCTCTTAGCTAGTCAAGAAATTTACATTTTATAGAACCCAAAAGATTATTACCGCCACCAGTCCCTGTCCAAAGGCGGATGGATCGAGTCCACATCTTAACTCACTATTTCTGTGAAATCCATTTTTATATTACCCTTCCATTTTCTGATTGGTCGCTTTCTTTGAATCTTTTCAACCAAACATTTTACTCACTTGTCATATCCCCATCCGTGCCCACACGGGCTTTCGTTATTTGTTGAATAAAAAAATTCAAAGTCCCCAGTTTGGAATCGATACACTACCATCCATCCCGTGGTTTTTGTATAACGCAGGGAATGACTGAAGAGTAAATGCTCGTTAGCAAAATTCTCCATATTGTTTTAACCTTAGTTCTGAAAAGGCAGCATAGATCTCTAATTTATGAACAGTCTTCGATGTCTGGTATATACAAGAAAGATTTCAGAAATTAATCTCTAGGACGCTCGGTTATTCTTCAACTTTATCACCTTTCCAACATCACCCTCATCTTCAGTGGTAAAATCCGCACCTCGCACACTGTTTTCTCAGGATACATTTGAATAGTGGCCTCTTAACCTGCGCCATTATCCCGAATCTCACTATCACAGTAGGGAATTAATTTAATCGCTTCCAGCGGGCATTATATGAACGTTATTTCACAGTCTTTGAAAGTCACTGGTGTTATTATTGGAAGGGACTAGAGAACTGGAATTTCTGTAATTAATAATCTTACACTAAGTCACAAAGATATTACGTGTATCTGACAAGGAATAACGTTTAAAACATGTTTTCTTTTCAGTAATCTTCTGTATTTTCTTTGGTTGTTACATCTAGCAACAAAAATAAATATTTTAACAGATAACAATCAACATAAACAACAAAACAGAGCTCGGTTTAAGTCATATTTTTAGAGGACAATCCTGGTGTTAATATTTCCCGCATCATTTTCGTGATTCTGACACTAAATTTTGCAAACCCATGAAACTATTTACTGTTCTTTTGCGATGTATTGTTAATGGCTTGTGTCTTAATACAAACAGCAGTCGATTAACTAAACATAAACAGTGTCGAAAATTACTCTGTCAAAAAAAATTAAATGTAGTGTAGCTAAAATCGTTGCATATTGAATTACGCCTCTAAGTGATATGTCTTCTGCAACTGAAACCAGAAACTGAGACGCAGGAACATTTAGTGCCTGTGAATGTCGTTGGCGTGTGGCTTTAATGATGACCATGACCATGGCCATGGCCACCTCCGCCGCCGCCACCACCGTGGCCACTGCTGTAGCCCCAGTGCTTGCCATCAGAGTGACCACCCTTCTTGCCGTAGTCTTCGTGATGCCCGTGATGTTCCTCGTGGCCGTGATGTCCTTTGAAGCCCTTATGCTCATCCTCGTAATGGCCCTTGTCGTGATGGCCCTTCTTCCCGTAGTGATCGTCATGGTAGCCGGACTTGTGATGACCTCCCTTCTTGTGGCCACCTTCCTTCTTTTCGTGGTGAGCATGGAAGTCTCCGTGTTTACCGTGATGGCCACCCTTGTGGTAGTCGTCGTAAAACTTGTGTTCCTTGTGATATTCATCTTTGTGAGATTTGTGATGGTAGCCGTGGGTCTTGTGCCCCTTCTTGTGGCCACCCTTCTCACCGAACTTTCCGCCCTTATGACCCTTTTCTCCCTTATGGTGTTCACCATAGTGTCCAGCCTCGTCGTGGTGTTTCTTCTTGTGGCCTCCGTGGTCACTGTAGAAGCCACTGTGATGTTCCTTCCCGTGCTTGCCGTGGTCTCCCTTCTCGTGGTGATGGTGACTCTTGTATCCTTTGTCACCCTTGTGGCCATGGCTGGCGTGGTGATCAGAGTGGTGCTTGTGGCCACCTCCCTTCTCGTGGTGGTGTCCGTGGTGCGAGGCAGCAGTCTCTAAATCCTCTGCTTCCTCAGCAACTCCCTTCACTGGTATCAACGCGGAACTTTCTCCTTGTAGTTCCGCATCTTCCAGTGAAGCAGAAAGAAGATCTATGGAACGGATCTCCCTTGCTGTGCACACTGATTGAAACAAATACAGAGCTCCGAAAAGGAGAAATGCTAGGCGCCAGGAGCGCCACAGTGACGTTGCCATCGCAGCACCACCCTTGCAAATAGTGTTGTTGTGACACCTAGTGCTGAACTGTCTTTTAAATCTCACGCGACCGCTATTTATATTACAGTTTTCCATCACTACTCCGCCATATGCAACTTTTCTTTCTATTTGTTTAGGACATCTTTTTGCTCCTTTTCTCTCACGAAACTCCCTCTCCATCATCCTCCCCTCCTTATCTTTGTTACCATGGAGAGATTCTCCGCTCAGCCGGAAAGATCTCTCGCCTAGTAAGCGAGGAAACCAACTTGTTACCAAATATGACAATAATTCTGTGTATACATCATTTTCTGCTATTTTTCACGCCTCATGATTACGTGGTAATTCATTCAGTTGTATTTTAAATTGCATTATGGCTGCTTACAGCTCTGTACGATTGCGTGATTTTATGCAGGCCTGAGAACAGCGTCATTCTTTGGAAATGTCTCATAACTCATGCGTGTTCCGGCACTCATTTAATATCATCATTGCAACTGACGGTGGTCGGTTGCTTCACTTTTAAAATAGTTTTGTGTCTGCATACATACAACGAACGTTCGGCATCCCAAATATTTGGACAGTAAATTTCCTACGTTTGTGACGTTTTGTAATTAAAGTTTATCGTGTGTATAATATTATAAATTATTTTACTGTTTTCACAATTGCAGTGTCCAGCTTTGTATTTTACTTAGGATACTGCTCATTTAATATCCACACAAGCTGGCACACGTGATTTAAGGTATTCTGATTAATGTATTTAATTAAATAAATTTATTAAGATGCTTATCAATACGATTAATGGCAAATAAACTGGAACATAATAATAGCTAAAGTAACTAACTGCATGGAATGCAGTCTTTGTTGAGAAGTTAATAGTCCGTCGCCTAATCTAGAAATTCTTTGCTTTTGGTGGAATCCGAAAGTTTATTACTCCTTTCACAAATAAAATGTTTGTTTCCTTTTATTATTTTGTTTTCTCATCTGATTGGCATTTGATGAGTGTAATTTGAATTAGAGCAGATTATGAACATCTGAATCTGATTGATGTACTTTATTATTAATGTGTAATCTGGACCAGGGGCAAATTGTATCATTAAAGTAAAAAATGAACAGGATATGGAATAACAGGTGCTTTGGGATTATCACAGGCAAGTAGAAAATGAGAAACATTAAACCACGGGGAATCCCTAATTTGTCAGGCCACATGGCATGTTACGGTAACCAAATCAACTATATTAACGATGCGACGACATGTAGCTCGGACAGGAGAGGAAAAAAAATCTTTCCAGCATTTGGTGGGGATATTGTTTGGAAAGCGGGCTTAAAATTGGAGGATGATATAAATGTAGACATTGGTAAATACGTTGCTAGAAATTAGACAGCCGCTTGGTTTGGTGTGTTGAACACACATAGGACTCTTTAACCAGGTAATTTGACGGTTCGGTAGATTGTTTGCTAGCGTAGTAAAATAATCCACACAAAATTAATAAAATAAATTGTACCACTAAGTCATTACTTTGCCACATAGTGTATTTATGGGTTTCACATGACTCTCAAAAAAAATCAGCTAATATTTAAACAACATTAACCTGCTGATCTTTGTAAAAAAAAAAAAAAGACGCGCTGTGTTCTTAAAGCAAGAAGATAAATTAAAATATTTTATGTAAACTCAGATCTTCAAAGGGTTAAACGCACTTCCTGTTTGATCTTGAAAGGTCAAGTGATAAGCATCTGAAGGAAATACCGTGTGCCCCGTAAGCTGGTTTCATTTAGATCAGCTTCTGGAATGCTCTCAGGATTTACGAACAATGTAATGAAGGTTCGGTCCCTATAAAGTTACTGGGGATTTTCTTTTACTCCCTGAGTGACCATTGGTTTCTCGAAAAGGATCCTGCTCCATGGGGTTAGTAATGTTTATTAATTTATTTACTGTTTTCCTCTAGGTAATATTGTCGTAATTAAGTATTCAGTATTTTTTTAAATCGTACACAAAATTTCCATGTTAGGCAGAAATTTCCTTCCTTGTAGAGAACTGAATTGGCCGTTAGAAATTCTAACCCATACTCGAAGCCCCTTCAAACAAGACCGTGTTGTTAATTGTTTATTGTGTGTGTGAACGCGGAATAATTATACTTTTGTACGCCTGCTTTCAGGAACGCAAAGTTGTAGAATTCAGATAAAATGATGTACACTTTATAATGTTTTCTATAACAGTGATAGTGCGAACTACGAGTATGTTCGCGTGGACTTAGACCGCCTAAACGCCATGCCCTAGGGTTGAAATCTCCCTCCGATTATGGATATTTACTGTAGCTTTTCTACCTTGCACTGTGAAGTAGACTTATGTTGTGGGTTGATATCGGCCTAAGAACTCATGCAGAAAACTTTATTACTGTTTAAAAAGTCCTCTAATGAGAGAATGCGAACTTAAAATAAATTTGTAAAGCCCGAGACAAAATATGAAAATTCTAATAATAAATTGGAGAGGATTTTGAATAAATCTGTTAGACTATTAGGTTACATGTGTCCGTAATTTATTTCTCCCATATTCTTTATTTTAACGTACGAAATAGCCTCTAACTCCTGGAGTCACCATCAAGTGGTACAACCTTTTTTAAACAACGAGGTATGGGGACCGAGTCATGGTGGTATAACCTTTGCATAATAGTTGGGCTAAGTGGCTTTAAGAGACTAGTGTAGAAAGCATCAGCACTACTGGTACTGCTTCTTCTTCTTCTTCTTCTTCTTCTTCATGTCCAGCGACCGATTAGTAGAACATATTTCTTTCGAATTTCATAAAGGTATAAGACTGTAGTAGGCCACATAACTCATTATGTAACAAATAGTTTATTCTTTATTTGAATTTAAACTAATATTAATGCATTAGGTGTTTTGTATTTACTGTGCAGTGGTTAGTGGTTCGTTATTTGGGAGGTCCCGGGTTTTGTATGTCACCCCGGAGACCGGCTACATTTAGTGGGATTTTCCGTAATTTTTCTCAGTACTTTCAACATAAATGCTAGGATACACCTTAACATAGGAAGCGACAGATTAAGAAGATTTCTGTCTTCTGGGTTATTGCGCTGTGTAGTCTGGTCGAGACAGATTATTTCCGTATCCTTTCCAATCCTTAATTCTCAGTCATCCCATAATTAGACGTCATGAAACCATTATAATAAAAAAGACATCATTAAAACCCAGGCGCAGTGAATTCGGTCGTTTAACGTGTACATTGTTATGAGGCAACTTGCTGTCCGTCTCCGGTCTGATGGCGATAGCTACATGAGAATTATCGGAAAGCTGTAGCTGGAGAACCAGCGACTTGAGAATTTTCTACTGTGTGAAACAATGTTACGAGTGGTTAGTTCCGGACCCGCAAAAGTAAAAGAGTTAAAAGACAAGATAAGAAAGAATATGCCGCGATCAGTGAACTAACAGACAAGATTAGTGAAACGCTTCTTTGGATAATTTGTCGAGTTCCATTTTCACCGTTCAGTTATAAACGTAAGAGATCGCTATTTCCCATGGTTCTGTCTTGCTGCTGGAACGAATGATAATTAACCCCATTAATTCTTCGCCTGTAAACTCGACTGTGTGGTCCAGTTGCTCGGTTGTCCAAGTGAGGATGAATCGATATGTCTCAATGTGCTGTTTTCCTCTCATGATTTGCATTCCTACGTCCCTTGTACCTATCGAAAAATATCCAAAAGGAGTTTAATTATGGCACAAGCTTAAATAATAGAGAAACAATCAAACTTGTTCTGCATAACACAGAGTATCGTTATTTTGTTGGCTTCTTCTCTTCTAATTCTGGCTTAAACCTGTTGTTATTTTATAGATCATGAAAGACTTCAAATAATAAACTAATTTTACAAAATTTGTTTGAATACCGTATCATTGGAAGATTGTCTGAGTTAGTTATCTTCTGCTCTTTGCTATCAACAATTTTAAGGTAGGTGCTCCAAGATGTTCTAATGTGGGAGGAAATCTATCATTATTTAAATAAGTTACTGAAATCAGTTTCTACGATACGTACATCATAGCCTGTTTAAATTCGGAAATTCTTAAATATTTATGGAGCCCTTTATATATTTTATTAGAATCCTTGGACGGGTTCAGCCAGTCACAAGGCCTCTACCTACGCAGAAAAACGCGGACGAATATCCACGCCTCGAGTGTGATAACTGTAAAATTACTAATTATTTCTTGTAGCGTCTCTGCGCACACCCAGGAATTTAAAGGAAAGACAGACGTTGCCAAATCTTTCTGGAAAGTTTTTTTATTATTATCTTCGATAAACCTGCGAATCGCTTGGCAACGGTTTACTCTGGAAGTCTTTACATTGAACACTAACAAATCATACGTGTCTCAACGTTATTTTGCACGAAGTGCTTGAAATAAACGCATGATGAAGACTGCTCATGATTACTCTCACATTTGATTCTATTTGTCTCATTAAAAAATTCAACGGTCCTGTACTAACACAAATTACTTAAAATATTTCAATATTTCGAAATGTGAAAACAATCGAATTAGAGCCCCAATGTAACACCTGCCCTAATTGATTATCCACTCGTCTGTTAGTTATTACTACATGTGCCTAAAGCGTGATACACACATCTCTTAATTAATGTCCTCTTATGCAATTACCTCATTACCGGATCACGTAGACCTTCCGGGTATATTGGCAAGCTTGTCAAACCACAGGTTCGAT